TTCCTTCCTTCCTTCCTTCCTTCCTTCCTTCCTTCCTTCCTTCCTTCCTTCCTTCCTTTCTTTCTTTCTTTCTTTTGCCAATCCTGAGGCTTGAACTCAGGACCTGGGTACTGTCCCTAAACCACTTTGTGTTCTCTCTCATTTGAGCCATAACACCATTTCCAGTTTTTTTCTGAGTAGTTTATTGGAGATAAGAGTTTCACAGAATTTCTTGGTTAGGCTGCCTTTGAACTGTGATCCTCAGATCTCAGATTCCTGAGGAGCCAGGATTACAGGCGTGAGTGACTGGTGCCTCCATCCTTTTTTCTTTACAATAAACCTCCTAGCACTTAAAGAGTAATGAAACTAAGACACAAAGACTTTTTGTAACTGACTTTGAACCAGAGTGACTGTATATACTCTTTTTTATTCCTCTCTTTAGCAGCAAATTACTGATTAAAAAAAAATCTTTCTTGCCTAAACTCTAAAACTAACCCTTCACATTTCCTCTAGGCACTAATTTCAATAATTGCTTCCCTTTGTAACAGGATTTTCCAACTCATATGTGGGAAGCATCACAATAGGTTAAACAAACAACAACAACAGGGGGAAGGGGGGAGCAGCTCCACAAAAAATGTACCCATTCTGGGAACCAGGTAGACACTGCTGGCCTCCCACTTTGCAATCTTTACTACATTGAATCTTCAGGACCTATTGTTATTTTTTTTTAACCTGTCTGCCTTCTTCCCCATTAGACCTAGATTCCTGATGGCAGAAGCTAGGCCCATTAGCAAAATGACATTACAAGGAAGGGATGTTACAAGGAAGGAATTTCTTTAAATATACATAACATACTGTTATGGGAAGGAAGGAGTTACCTAGGACCTTCTAAGACTGACACAAAGCTCAATCTTGATGAATATTTATGAGCTTCCTGATCACTAAAGAAGAAAAAGATAGTCCAACTCAAAAACAGGATATACTTAATTTAGAAGTGATATAGAAAAGTGTCTTCAAGAATTACCATGTATTTCCCTGTATATGTTGTGAGTAGGGAAAGGCGGGAGCATTGAAAGAGGATTGAGGGAGGGAGGATGGGAAAGTAAGGAAAGAAAACTGAGGGAGGGAAGAAAATTTTTTTAATTTTACTGTAAAAATACTATACAGAGGAATTACGATTACATGAATAAGGTAATGAGTACATTTCTTGTAGAACACTGTGAAAAAAATTTAAGTAAATAAATATCAAATATATTCACTCTTCTAGATAATTCAGTACTCAGTAATATTAAAGGCATTTTATTGAACAACTGTTTAAAAATGAGTAGCAGGAAGTGGAAACGTTTTGGTGGTAAGGGCAAAGAGCAGAAGGCACACAAATGGAAGGAGGAGGAGTGAGAAAATGCAGTCATTATATTTAGTGCACATTATGTAAAAATTGAACTATATAACTTGAGGGTAAGGATATTAGGGGTAGTAATGGGGACGAATAATAAAAAGGGTGACATTATTCAAGATGTATTCATAATTTGAGTTATAGAATCGAAACCTCATTGTACAACTGTTACCTGCTCCCAATAAGAAACACTTAAGTCAATGTAGGACACTTCTAGCTTGTTATATAACAGTTTATCATGTAATTACATCACTGAGTTAAAGTACCTTAGTGTATAAAACCTTTTTGTCTGTTGTTGTTGTTGGTCATGGGGCTTGAACTCTGGGTTTGGGCACTGTCCCTGTGCTCTTCAGCTCAAGGTGAGTGCTCTATCATTTGAGCCACAGCTCCACTTCCGGTTTTCTAATGGTTTATTAGAGATAAAGAGTTTCAAGGACTTTTCCTGCCTGGGCTGGTTTTCAACTGTGATCCTCAGATCTCAGCCTCCTGAGTAGCTAGGATTACAGGTGTGAGCCACCACTGCCTGGCTCGTGTATAAAGCCTTTAAGTGACAGTAAAGAAAGAACCTTCAAAGATAATTAAAGTTAACCATTTCAATATATCCATTTAATAACTGAACTCTAGAAAAAAGTGACTCACTCAAAGTCACAGAATCAATGAACATCACCTTATACAAGGGCTGCTCACTGCATAGCAAGAGTTTTTATTACACTATTCTTAGTTCAATGATAGGCAAATCAAAGTGAGACACTAGCAAGAATCCTTATGAGCCAAAAACAGAAAAAAAATCCAGTTTTAGGAGTTTCCCTTTGCCATCAGAGAAACTGAGGTTTCTCACACAATTTCTACAGAATCATACAGATATATATAATAGAAAAGAAGTTCCAATATAAACGTATTCTAGTTCTAAAACATTTCCAAGAATGACAAAATATACTCAGCAAAGCAAAATATCCAATCATCTAATGAAATAACTCTATGCTTTGGTAAAACATGTGTAGATACATACACCCCAAAAAAAGTGAAACATATACTCTAAGCAAAGCCCACAAATCCCCAAAGCTCAAATTAGGGCCAAGGATAGAACCCATCTTTTGTACTTACCGTAACTTTACTTCCAACTATCTGTATGCAGTGAGTGGTCAGCGAACAGTGGTTATGGTGTAAAAAAAAAAAAAGAAAGAAAAGAACAGCAACAACATTAGTAATCAGAAGCTTTACAAAGAAGTTAGGTATTTAGTAAATTAGTAAGTAGCTAATCCTAATTATACTTTTAATACTTTATATCCAGAGGCCCAATCATATATATTAATATGAATTTGTACATATTTCAAAAGTGTGTTTAGTCTGTAAGGATAAGGATTTCCAAATAAAGGAGAATTGCTATTTGAATATGGGATGCTCTTAAAGGAAATCGAAATATCAAGTAACGCAAAGTTAATTGTAAGCTGGTATTAGATATCAGCATATAGCATCTCAAAGGCATCATCAACGATTGCTTTTTTGTGGCAAATGCTACTTTCTTTCCTTACTATGCAAGTGTATTAAGTCTGAAATAAGATAGTTTAGGAAAATGAATGCTGCACTAAATATCATCTATAGATGTTAGGAGTGAACTTTAAGTTGAAAACTGGACTATTTCATTTTGTTAAAATTTCCCTTATATGCAATATCTAGTATATGTATGAGTCAAGCGGAAAAGGTCAGATAATGTGATGTCAGGAAAATGAACCCTTAGATATGTATTTTAATGTTTTTTTCTTTCATGCATGTGTTTCTAACGCATTTATAAGATTATCTCTTTGTTGCTTTGTATGTCCCTCCCCCACAGTATAACCCCTGCTTTCACTATATTTGATGTCAGTATAACTTGTGGAGGAGATGGGGAAAAACCAGTTGGTTAAGGATACAGGTGGACCTGTTGCAACAATGAGAAGTACAAGTTGTCATGTCCAAAACGAGCATTACAACGTTGGTGCGGGGGGAGGGGGGAAGAGGGGGAAGGAGAAGGATTCGGATTGGGGGGGAGGGGGGAGGCTGGGAAGGGATGTGAAGGGTAAACAAAGGAGGAGGATGCAATGCTTGGTAAGAAATGTACGCATTATCCTGCCCATGTAATTGTAACCCCTCTGTAATTGTAACCCCTCTGTACAGTATGTTCACAAATAAAATTAAATTAAAAAAATGTAAATTATCTAATATTAGTTTATATTACACTTCAAAAAAAGATAGACTGCTTATCGCTATAGTTTGAGTTCATCCTAGTACACATATTGTAAAATCTGAATTTTCTCTATAACGTGAGGACAAAGGAACATTTTGTTTATAGACAAGTACATAACTCTAGAGAGAAGATTTCAACTTTGAGCTTCCTCACAGATAAAAGAGAAATTCTTTGAGTAAAAAAAAATGTGTTTAAGAAAGCAAAAAGCAAGCGGGGCATGATTGCTCAACCCTGTGCAAATAGCTCAAGTCTGTGCAATCCTACCTACTTAAAGAGGTAGAGATCAGGAGATCATGACTTAGAGGCTACCAGTGCAAAAAATTTGCAAAAATCTATTTCAACCATTAGCTGGGCAAAGTGTTTCATGCCTATAATCCCACATACCAAATAGGAAGATCACAGTTCAAGCCAGCATGGGCATAAAGCGAAATCTTTTGTCAAAAAATATGGAAAACAAAAAAGGTTGTAAGCATAGCTCAAAGAGCATCTGCCTAAGAAGTATGAGGCCCTGAGGTTAAACCTCAGTACAAAAATAAAAAAGCAGAAATAGTTTTGAGTATAACCTATGCCAAAATTAAAATATAAATCAAATCACTGTTAGCAGATTCATATATCTGAATATCAAGTAGTGGCCAATTAAGAGCTAATCTATGATATGAAACCATTAATCTGATAGCACTTATTATCAAGATGTATTGTTCAGCTAGTGCTTTAGAAAGAGAAAGCATTGGGCTTTGGTGGCTCATGCCTATAATCCTACTTAGGAAGCTGAGATATTAGGATTGTGATTCAAAACCAGTTGCAGGCAGGAAAATCCATGAACTTGTTTTCTTCAATAAACCACCTAAAAACCAAGAATAGAGTTGTGGCTCAAGTGATAAGAGCACTAGCCTTGAGCAAAAAAAACTCAGTGACTCCAAGCGACAAGGCCCACAAGAAAAAAAAATGTCCATTTCAAATTCAGTAAGTATTCCTAAGATGAAACTGTCACAAGATGCAAAAAGATAATGATAGTTTCCAAGTAAATTATTTCAGAGGAATCTATGAGCTCAAAGAGGGAAGCAAGTTTCTTTAAAAATTCATTCAACCCACTGCTCACAAACTATAGGGCTTATTCAGTTGAACAAATGCCTCTTTGGTGCCCTTAACAGGTTTCTGAATCGAACGACATCCTATTGACCTAAATTATTGCCTCTCACCAAAAGAGATAGAGGTTGTATTTGACCCTTGTTTATGTAGTGTACACATGAAATTGAGGGAAGAAAATATGAGCCTGTGTTAATTAAAGCAGGTCTATACTCAATGAAATAACCAAAATATCATCCATTTAATGATTCATTTGGAGAATACAATGAGTTCTGCAGCTAAAGCACATACAGAGATAGATCAGATTTATTAGTCAAGGACAGCAAAGAGAAACTAGTTTGGTCATGTCTAGGTTCAATTGTAGCATCATATCCAAACCACACCTGGAAAGAACCTAAGAAAAAATGTGTCTGATCATGGCCAAAACAAAACCATAATAAATGCATAAACAGACACATACAGACACTGCAACTTTTGACAACTTGTTATACAAGTTAGCCTGGCAATTCTGTGATTGATGTCACTGTTTGAAACTGAGATTTTCACAATGGCTCACATAATTTTCAAAAATACAAGCTGGCATATTCTATAATATAAACCTCAAAAACGGTGACTTTAAATGTAGAAAGAAACTTGCTGGTGAATATTGAAACAAAGACATTGAAATTTCGTAAACTAATCTTAGGACTTTGGTAAATGTTTGTATATGCTGTGAATTACAATGCAAGGTCCTCTTCTAATTTACCAACACAAAATGTTAAAATTTATACACTAATTTGTATAATACTGTAAAAGTTTGCTTTCCATTTTTAAAAACATATGCAGGTATTTTGAAAATATAAGACTCTCTGGGGTTATTTGTGGGCAAATAGTACATATAGTATCAACTATCATAGGTCAGGCCCACAATTACATTTCTTACAATATCAGAATCGTGCAACCCGTGGGGGATAAATGCACAGTAGGTTCTCTTCTATCCACATATTTAAAGTTCATTCATCACTGAGAGTTAAGCAAGATACTGTTCTTTCAACATGCCACAACTTTCTCTATTGTAAGAATTTAAAGGGAAAAGCTAAGCAATAATTTTCATTATTAATGTGATTGCCCTAGCATACTACTACACTATGCTACTTTGACCAAGTTAATTATACAACAAAAGATTAAGTTTGCTTTAGAAAAATCTTCACCTTACTTTAATGTCCTTAGCCAGGGCCCCAGAAGAACAATGGACATTTCTCATTGAGCTCACATTTTGTTTGGTTCATATTCTTTTGTACTTTTCATTGTATTTTTTCTATTTATTGTCTCTTCTATGTATTATTTGGCAGTACTAGGGCTTGAACTAAGGGCCTCATAGAAAGTGCACCATGTGAGCCATGACCCTAACCTGTCAAGGTGAAAATGTACAATTTATGCTTAAATTTTATTATCAATGTCACATATTTCACATGTAACTCTAAAACATTTTTCCACCAAAACTCTAGCCAATAACTTGCTTTACTTCAAGACGAAAAAGCCAACTATTTTACTTTAGCTAGTTATTTAATTTACTTATTAATTTTACTTGATTTTATTTATTTTATTTTAGTTATTTTTGAAAGGCACTTTCATAAATTAGTAGATATTACCATATTTGCTTTGAATGAAAAAAGGGTTTTAAGGAGTGTATCAACATAGGGAAAAGTAAGAGTAAAAAAAATTACAAAATGTGCAAAGCATAGCTAAAGTCTAATGAAAGTGTAATGGGAACCTTTGTTATGCATAGGTAACAGCCATGCATTTGATGAGAATTAGTGCAAATATTACTGTCCTAATCATGAAGAGAGTATTATTATTCACTTAATGTCATCCCTCTCACTTTTTTTTGTTTTTTGTCAGTCTTGGGGCCTGAACTCTGGGCCTGGGTGCTGTCCCTGAGCACTTCAGCTCAAGGTTAGCAGTCTACCACTTGAGCTACAGCGTCACTTCCAGCTTTTTCTGCTTATGTGGTGCTGAGGAATTGAACCCAGGGCCTCATGCATACAAGGCAAGCACTCTACCACTGAGCCACCTTCCCAGCCCCATCCCTCTCACTTTTAAGAAGAAATTACATAAGCAATTTTCATAGTTTTTATGATATTAAACAGTGGTAATTATTACCTCCCCAAGGTGAGAAGCCTTCAAAACATGTTTGTCAACAGGCTTTCTTTCATCAAAATATTTGTCCCAGGAAATATTTTTACAGAAGATTCTAATCTGGGAACTCTTAAGAAAGGACAATAGATGTATGAACTACATGTAGGTATACTGAATGAAATAAGCAAGGACAATTATACTCACTAATGCTGATTTTGAGGCTAGTGCCTTAAACAGGAAATCTTCATGTCTTTTGAAAACCATTCCATTTCCATTTTTTGAATAAAGCAGTTTTCAAATACACTCATCTAGTATTTTACTCTTCTTCCCATATTTCTGAGGATCACTCCTCAGACATTGAGCATGCTAAGCAAATGTTCTACCACTGCCCTATATTCCTAGTTCTATTTAAATAAACTTTTGCATTTTAAATCTTAAAAAATAAGAGTGCATAACTTAAAAGGGTGCATTTCATTGGTCAGTTGAAGGAAAACAATAAGAAAAAATGGAAAGAAGCTCTGAAGACAGAATGAGGAATAATCAAAAGTTCAAGGGATAAGAGCATTGAATAATCATTACAGTTAGTCCCACTTACACACACGCGCGCACGCGCACGCGCACACACACACACACACAAACCAAATAAGCCAGAAACACTAACAAAATCCTTTCATGAAAATATCATGCAATTTTTCTCATGCTATCTGTTTTGTGCACTCCGATTTAGTTTTATAGAGATTTACCAGCATACTTGCTTTTAGGTATTTGAAAAGTAACACTAAATGTACACCCTGCAATTCCTAAAGCATTTTACTGTGAACAATAACTCAAGTGCAAAAATGAGAAAAGATTCATTGGAATTTCAAAGTAAAATCCTATGCATCACCTAATTCTATTGAAAATGACGCTCATGGCAAATTTCACTTATCACTTGAAACATATTTCTCCCCTTGGATACCAGAAGCAAATCAAAAAACATTTTGTTGCTTAGCTCTGCTAGAGCTGCATTGCATTATGTTTAAATAGTTCTGCATTCAGATTTAGCTTGCTTAGAGTACAATACAGAATCAATACAATCACAAAATTCAGTAATTGCTACTGGATTATTGTACTAAAATAGTATTAATTAGACAGCTAAAGAACTCCAGAATATATTTTTCAGATGCAGAAGTATTCTTTTACTCATCAACTGCATACCTTTAAAATATAGATTTGAAATGTGCATGTATGCACACACATACATAGGTATATATATATATATATATACACACACAACAAAATTACTGTGTATGCATGTTTATGTGTAAGCAAACAATGCACATGGATTTTATTCACTGAAAATATGAAAACCTCTTTCTTTATGAAAGTAAAAAAAATACATTTGCCAATTCAAAAATACAGTTTTGTATAAAAACAAATCAAAACTGAAAACTATTTCTGAAAGTGACTTAGGAAGCTAACAAACCAAAACCCTATTAAAACAGTGAACCCTACTTTCAGGCCTTAGGAATCACACCTGATTTGATTAAAGCTCCTATTAATTGCTGTACACCAATTATAAGACAGCTTCCACAGCCTGCATTATATAAAATAGTTAAAAAACTTGTGTGCATATTAAAAACATTGCTAAAAAAGTATATTCAAATATTAGACACACAGCTTTAATATAAACTTGATTAAAACTGACTATGGTATGTTTGTGCCTTCTCCAACTGTCCAAACTTTTCATCTAACAATCTGTCTCAATCACTATAAAATTTTTACCAAGTGCACAAAATCTCTGTCCCAAAACTCATTGGACTATACTACCTCAGGAACCTTCCACCCATATGCATCCATCTTTAAACTGCTTCCTAAAAAGCCTGTATAAGTACAGAGGCAAGAATGGGAAGATGTAAGCTTTGTTCATTTTTAAACAGATAATGCTAAGTCTATTCTTAGTGCCAGCAAAATCTCTGTACTTACAGATTTGGCAGTAGCAGAAATATACTGAACAACCATTTCACGCTTGGTGGTAAAATCTTTGTCTCGTAAAGGAGCTTTCTTTTCTTCATTAAGGTTCATGTCCTCCTGTAGGAAAGAACATTTACTATGAGTGGTCTGCTTAAGAATTTCAAGTGATTAATATATATTAATGATGTTTACATCTTAAAATATTCTTGCATGCTATAACAAACAGAAATCGTATTTTGGGGATATTTCCTACTCATTTTCACTCCAGATGACATAATCTTGGTTAAATTTCACCATGTGTTCATAGTTTCTATTACTACATAGCCTAGCATGAAGCAGAAAAAATATTTTTAAACCTTTCCACAGACTAAATGGGCATATGAAAAGCTATTTATTTACCTGGATAGCCAATGCATACATACACAAATTACTTTTCAGTAGATGCTCCCATAAGCCAGGAAAGCAACTATGATTGTCATGATTGTCAAATTAACAGGGAATATATATACACACACACACACACATATATATATATACACACACACACACATATACACATACACACACACACACACTATATATATATATATATAGTGTGTGTGTATGTGTATGTGTGTGTGTGTGTGTGTGTACATGCACTATATATATATATATATAGTGTGTGTGTGTGTATGTGTATGTGTGTGTGTGTGTGTACATGCACACATAGCACTAAAGGAAAAAAAGCTGCTGCACTTAAAAGAGCAAAAAGAAGCAGGGCACCGGTGGCTCAGACCTGTAATCCTAGCTACTCAGGAGGCTGAGATCTGAGGATCGTGGTTCAAAGCCAGCCCGGGCAGGAAAGGCCATGAGACTGTTATCACCAATAAACCACTAGAAAATCAGAAGTGGCACTGTGGTTCAAGTGGTAGCGTGCTAGCCTCGAGACAAAAAGCTGAGGGACAGCGCCCAGACCCCGAGTTCAAGCCCCATAACCGACCAAAAAAAAAAAAAAAAGAGCAAAAAGAAAGACAGAACTATACTTACTATATTGGGATAACAAAAACTACTCCTTGGAAAGGAAAACATTGTTATGGAGATTCTGTTAACTTTCATATGGTTGGGAATCCACCTTTATTTTTGTGCTACACAAACATCTAACAAGTTCATCACAAAAAAATATTTTCTTCATTATAAAACTCACGTCAGCATTTGTAACATAAGAAGAAGACACCCTTCATGAAATATGAGGGAAGAGGGAATTTACTGGGTTTTAAATTCCCCAAGAGTAAAAGTCACTACAAAATGGGTTAAAATGTTACAAGTCGCATTTAAAATGGGATGTATACCCATACAGACAAGGTAGTAAGGACTGAAAGCTTCATGTTAGTTTGTCTTGTTTTCTTGGCTGGCACTACCTCCTTCAGCTCTGCTTCATGCTGATTATTTTGAGATGGAGTAATTTTTTTTGCCTGGGCTGACTTTGAAACATGATCCTCCCGATCTCAGTTTCATGAATAACTAAGTTTACAGGTGTAAGCCACCAAAAAAGATTTAAGAATAGGCATTAAGCACAAACAAGGATGTTCACCGTTATTATTTATAAAATGTACAAAACACTATGTTGAAAATGAACTTTACAGCTTGGCGCGGGGAGAAGCTGGGGAGGAGGGAAAGGATGGTAGGAGAAAAGCAAAGGAGATGGTAACAATGCTCGATAGGAAATGTACTCATTACCTTACTCATGTAACTGTACCCCCTTTGTACAATATGTTTACAACAAATATATATATATATATATATATATTTTAAAAAACAGCCATCACGTTACTACCATAAGAATAGCTACATTTTAATAAAGCTAAAAAATACTTGCAATGGTGTAAAAAAATTGATACTTCACACATTGCTAATGGGAATGTGAAATGATGCAGCCATTTTAGAAAATTCTGGCAATTCCTCAAACTAGTTAAACATAAGTTTTACATACTATATAATTCAGCTTACATATCCAAGCCAAATGAAAACATATCTTTACATTGGGTGTGATGACACATACCTATAATCTCAGCCCTCAGAAACCTTAGGGAGGAAGAACATGAATTCTAGTCCAGCCAGGAATATATTGTTAGACCTGGGCTCAAAAATTATATACATTTCCACACCAAAACTTATTAAAAAATGTTTATTAGTTACATTATTCCTAATAACCCAAAATTAACAAACTACCCAAATATCTAAAAAGTGATAAGTATACAAAATAAGATATACTTACACAACAGAATATCACTCAGCCACCAAAAAGAATCAATCAAATAAACTCTGAAATTGTATCATGCTAATTGAAACAATTCAGGCATGAACGACTATGTATTATATATGTCCGTTTGCATAAAATACCCATGCAAGCCAAATCTATAGAGATAGAACAAAAAACTAATGCTTGCCACTGTCAGAAAAGTAGAAAAGAACAGATTTGATTAGTATTGTTTAAGGATATGGTGTTTCTTTTAGGGGTAATACAAATAATATGAAATTGATTGATTTATAGTTGCACAGGAGTTGAATATACTAAGAACACAAAATTATTACCGTATATGAATTGTATGTTTACATTTGACATTTGAATTTTTGTAGTTTTTACGTTTTGGTTGACATCTAATAACCACATATTTATGGAGTACAATGTTATGTTTTGAATCATGTATAAAGGGTATAATGAAAGAATCAAGGAAATTAGTGTATTCATCATCTTAAACATACATTATATCTTTATAGTGTCAGAAATATTCAAGGTGCTCACATGTAGCTATACTGAAGTATAAAATACACCACTGTTAACTATAAATAACTATACTGTGCAATGAATCACCAGAACTCTAGTCTCCTACTTAACTCATACACTGCACTCATGGACCAACCTTTCCCCATCCTTTCTCCCTCCATACACTGCTCAGCCTCTGGAAAACACTATTTCATTCCTCATTTCTACAAAAATGTAAATTACTGGAATATAAATTAGTATAGCTATTATTTACAAATAAAGTGTAGAATTTCCACACTTGAAAGTGGAACTACCACCATGTGCTGGTGGCTCATGCCTGATATCCTAGATATTCGGGAGGCTGAGATTTGAGAAAGGGCAGTTCGAAGCCAATCTGAGGAGAAAAGTCCATAAGACTCTGGATTCTTTTCTCCAATTGTCCATACACAAAAAAAGAAAAACTGGAAGTAGAGGTGCAGCTCAACTGGTAGAGTGCTAGCCTTGAGTGAAAAAAACTAAGGGACAGAGCCTGGATCCAGAGTTTACAAAAAAAAAAAATACAATTACCAACAGCTTCAGCGCTGGGTATATAGCCAAAAGAAATGAAATAATGCTGGGCACCAGTGGCTCACGCCTGTAATCCTAGGCCCTCAGGAGGCTGAGATCTGAGGATCATGGTTCAAAGTCAGCCAGGGTAGGAAAAGTCCTTGAGACTCTTATCTCCAATAAAATACTAGAAAACCGAAAGTGGCGCTGTGGCTCAAGCCGTAGAGCGCTCGCCTTGAGCTGAAGAGCTGAGGGACAGCTCCCAAGCCCAGAGTTCAAGCCGCACGACCGACCAAAAAAAAGAAAGAAATGAAATCATTACATGGAAGACACATCTGCACCTCCATGTTTACAGCAGCATTGGTTACAATAGCTGAGAAATAGTTTACATCTAATTTTTCCTCACTGGATGTGCTACATACCCACAATGCCATGCTCTTCAGCCATAATAGAGAATGGAAACCAGTGCTAGAGGTGTGGGTCAAGTGTCAGAACAGAAGGCCCTGAGTTTAAATAGGAAGGAAGGAAGGAAGGAAGGAAGGAAGGAAGGAAGGAAGGAAGGAAGGAAGGAAGGAAGGAAGGAAGGAAGG